TCTCCCAGCAGATGTCTGGGTAGTTTAGGTCCCCCATGACTACCGCCTCCTTAGCTTTTATGGTCTCTGAGAGCTGCCTCGGGAGCCCCAAATCTAGTTCTTCCCCTTGTTGTGGGGGACTGTAGCAGACCCCTACCACCAAATCCCTTTCTCCTTGCCCCCCATGTAACTTAACCCACAGTCCTTCTACTTTCTCCTCCTTCGATTCCGTCTTGATGAGGGTCGAAGTATATCGCTCATTGACATAGAGCGCACCCCTCCCCCTTTCTTCCCCACCCTGTCCTTTCTGTACAGCCTATAACCCTCAATATGTACCGCCCAGTTGTGGGAAGAATCCCACCAGGTTTCAGATGGCCCTACTAAGTCGTAGGTGTTTTCTGCAAGCAGGAGTGCTAGTTCATCCTGCTTGTTCCCCATGCTCCTAGCATTGGTATATAGGCACTTGAGCCCTGTGACTGGTGCCTTTTTTGCCCCCCAGATCCGATTCCCAAAGGGCCCCTTATTGCTTACCTGCTTACTGCTTACCTGTGCTGTATTGCTAGCCGCCCCATGGATTGCAGGTTCCCGATGTTCTCCTCCTTCAGGCTGGGCTGTCCTTGTGGGTGCCACATGGTTTGGTGGTCCACGGCTTCCCTTGCCCTCATCCTCCCCTCCCCCTGACAAGCCTAGTTTAAAGCCCGCTGGAGGAGATCCGCCAACCTAGAAGAGAACACACTCTTACCTTTGGGGGACAGGTGATGCCCATCCCAACTGAGCATGTTCCTCAATGATCTGTTGACGTCCCTTCTGACCCTAACATCTGTGAATCTATATTTGGGAAGAAAAACCCTAGGAGATGCAGTTGGGAAAACAGGTCAGAGTTCTGGATGTTAAAAAGATTTAATTTGACCCCACTCATAAAGAGGCAAAATATTTACATGTGGCAAATTTTAAGCAGCGATCTAATAATCTACAAAAGAGTGTAAAATGTTAAAGAATTTGTTTTGGGCAGAACAACCGAGTACTTTGAATTCCAAAGAGACTTCCTGTTTGGCTGTTGTTAATTTTTGAGGTTTGGGAATAAAGTTGTGTAGCAGATATGACAACATGAGAACTAAAAAATATTGGTATGAGAGCTGTAGTAGTTTATGGTTTTTTTGAAATAGCAACACAGTCAATAGATATTGGAACTAAAAAAACCCCACTTCTTTATTTGCTCTTGGCTACTGTTAGCAAGTAAAGGGGCGTGCACAACTTTTTTAAATAGAAGATGATTTTTGTTCTTAGAAAATTCAAGTGGTCTGCCTTCATTGCTGCAACAAACAACTTCAGAATGTAAAGGAAGCAATGCTAGTTTTTCAGGTTGCTCTAGTTTCAGTGTGACTACGGAAAGCTTTTTCAGCACAGAAACTGGGAATCAGTAGTCACTGTTTTAATTCAGAAAAGCATTGTGAAGATCAGTGAGATTGCTGTGCTTAACTACTGTTTAAGTTTCCTAAGCAGGTGCATGAGGCTGAAAATGGGCAAAGTTTACGCAGTGGAGGATGTCCTTGAACCTGCTGAGGGAAAAATAGTTTTAACAGCTGAAGATCTGCTGGAGAGGTGGGGGATGGCAGGAAAAGAGGGAACGTTTTTTTCCCAGTTGGCAGTTTAGGGCATGGGAAAGTACAGATTTATCAGAGACCAACTAAACCTGGAATTGGGACAGGATGGAGAATGTGTCTAACATGACTTGAAGCTAGGATTTCAAGGACCTACTCCTTTCTCAGCAGCCGCCTGATTGATGAGGAGCAGGCTGGGCTTTGCACTGATATCCTTGTTTATGGAGCTACGTGCGTCTCTCTGAATTCTGGACATTGGTAATAAGGAATTTAAAATTGCTCTGATTACAGAATAAGGTCTAAAGCATTTTTTGCAGATAGGCACAAAAAAAAGCCCCAAAACAAGAAACCCCATACACCAGTAGGAAGAAGAGAAACTCAACGTTTTGTGCGTGTCTTTTTTTTTTCCCCAGATGTACAAAACTTTGCCATCAGAAGCCTTTGGATATGAAAGATGATAATACTGAAAAACACTGCCCTGTTACAGTGAATCCCTGGCATATGAAGAAAGCTTTCAAAGTTATGAATGAATTAAGAAGGTATTGCTTCATTTTGTGCTTGTGCATGGAGTTTAAAGTACATTTTCAGTTGTCAGTAGCGGTTTCCAGAGGTGTGGGGTGACACCTGAGTGCCCTGGGTGGCAGTGATACGTGGCCATGGCAGGGTCAGTAGTTGTACTGCTGGTGGCATGGTCATGGCCAGTCCAGAAATATTTTTTTTTGCCAATGCCTGGGGCTAGTGACCCAATTGTTCCCCTTCTCCCTTCCCATCCTCCTCACCCCTTCATGATGTTACTTGAGTTTTTTCTTGTGTTTATTCTATAAGTAGAATGTATACTCCCAGGCACATCTTTCCCAGTAGAAAAATGTTGTAAAACTTTAAAGTGAGAACCAGGGGTTTAGAACCAGTCATTCACCATATGGTAATTTGGACTATGTACACTGTAGGTATGTCAATGCAGGCACTAAGAGTGCCACCCGGAAGCTTGCCCTGCTCTCTTGCTCTTGCTTCGTGTGTGCCAAACCTAGAAATGAGACAGTAAAACCACCTTGAAGGTATCTTTGCCATGGGTCCCAGGCATAGCAGAGACAGATCTCACGGTAGGTTAACTGCCTTATTTTGGATTTGGCAGTGTAGAGCAAGAGTGGGTGCCCAAGGTTGGTGGCACAGGAAAAGTACAATAGACCTGCCTTACATTACTGCACTTGAAAAACTAGCCGAGTTATTGTTTTATGGGACATAAACGTGCAGGATTTTGTTTGTTTATCATAAAGAAGGTCACTACCTCTTATACCACATATTCCAGTGAATTGAATTCACTGTCAGGTGAACTCAATTACATCACTTTCACAGAGGCTTCTTACACAGTGGAAAAACTTTTTTTTTTTAAATTGTTTCCAAACATTGCTACCCTCAGGCTGAGCAGTGCTGGCAGCCCTGTACTGAGGCTGTTCTTAACATATGGGGTCATATGAGCTTAAATTTAGTAGGGGTCATATAAGCCCTGTATTCATTCCTGCCCAGGGCAGGGGGACGGACTAGATGATCTGCTCAGGTCCCCTCCAAGCCTACATGTATGAATCTATGAACACCATACTGATATAACTTTGTACTGACAGAACTGGGTGAAGCGCTGTTGAAAAACAGCGACACTTGGCAATTATGACTCTTAGCCAATACTAATAATGGTTCAGCCAATTAGGTAATGGCAACAGTGGGAGAATGTTAGTGTAGGCAAGGCCTGAGAGTTTAAAGCTCAGCCTATACTCTGTTGTTTTTTGCCATACACATTTGTAAATACTTTTTCCCCTTTCTTTATCTGCAGTTTTTCTTGCATGTGTGTATTTGCTGTTGCTAACATTGCCCAAATGACAATGCTCATCAACTTTTGATAGTGTGTCCTGTCTCAGGTGAACGTGGAGAAAAGTGTGTAGTCTATGCAGTTGAAATTGTGCAGACAGAATAGTTCAAAACATTATGCTTTATTTCAGAACAATGAGAGAAGGATGGAGGGTATTCACCAAAGTGTTTCTGAGGAGTCTGCTGCTAGAAGGATTGGATAGTTGCATTGTTTCAGTCTACCACATACCTTTTTTTTTGGTAGCTAGGTAACCTGATTTAGTATCTCAATAAGTATGATAATGTTTTAGGGTTCCACAACTGACCTTTTCTTGGTTGGGGAGAGTTTTGAAGTAGGGGCTGTGTTTGAATAAAGCTAAGGGCCTGCTTACACACTATGGTGCAACACAATGTCACGTGGAGGTACTGGAGATAACTTGGTGCATGCAGTAACTTTTAAATTGGAAGTATAACTACATTAATGCAGTACTGTGCCAAAGCTAACCAGCTTTGATGTGAAAGTCTTATTAGCCCGATACCAGTGCTGTGCTCAAGGTTTTAGCCTCATTGGCCAGATGAATGGTGTGGGGCTGAGGCATTAATCGCCTCTTGGCCACTTGGTGATGAGGTGTGGTAAAAAGAGCAAGATTAAAGGTGGTGCTGTGCCGCAAACTTCTACCATAACTTAGATAGGTCCCTAAATACAAATCACTGGGATATCTGGCTAGTAACTCTTTCACATGAAGATTTAGCAATCTACTTCGTCTTTAGCCTTCATCAAGATAAAAGCAGGAATTCTTCAGAACCTGCGCTTAGTAGAAGACTTCAGTACCTTATAAACCAGGATGTTCAAACCTGTTGAAAACCTAAATAATTACTTTTTTCTATTTTTGACAGTATCAGATCATTCTAACAAATTGGAAAGCGATTGCTAGGGCAAAATCTATTTTGGTTTCTTTTATATACCAAGATGCATTACCAGGTTTGCCAGCTTATGAACATGACACAAAATTATGACAATTATTAGCTTTAATTAAAATTTTAAAAAGCCTTTCCAATAATGAAGAGAGTCTTCTATAAGAGAGCTGACAGTAAATCAGGGCCCTGATTCATATTCTATAACAATAACTTTTAACGAAAAGTAAGCTGCATCATTCATCTCAGTACATCTAGCTATCTTATGTTTCAGAACTGTAGCCCTGAAACTAGCAAGTTTTAATTAAGAGTGAGATATGTGCAGCTGCTGGATTTATTTCACATTTCCATCCCACCTGTTCATCTCAAGATCTGGAGATGGATAACTTAAACGCTTAAATGACAAATCCTATTTGAGATAACAGCCGTATGCTGTTTGAAAACCGAGGCTCAAAGAATTAGTGGTATGGGACAGAATTACTAGAGAGAGAATCTCCCACTGGTTCTTATTTTATCAAAATACGGTCTTTCTTCACATGTTGTAAATTCCTCAGCTCTGATGTACTTAGCCCCCCCCCCCCCCCCTTCCCCTTTTTTT